TATCTGTCATTTAACATGGATGTGCTTTGCTTTTTTGCATTTATTTTATTTTATTTTGAGATAGGGTCTTACTCTCTTGCCCAGGCTGGAGTGTAATGGCCCAATCATACCTCTCTGTAACCATGAACTCTTGGATTCAAGCAATCCTCCTGCCTCAGCCTCCCATGTAATTGGACAAAAGGGACAACAGGCACACACCATCACAAACAGCTCTTGGGGGTCGGGTGGGGTCTCACTATGTTGCCCAGGCTGGTCTCGAACCTCTGGACTCAAGCGATCCTTCTGCCTTAAACTCCAAAACTGCAGGGATTATAGGTGTAAATTCACTACATCCAGCCTATGACATGCATTTTTTTTTTAAAGTTATTACAGGCAGACCTTAAATTAACCGTAGAAAGAAGAACTACACATTAGCATCTACTAAAGAGAAAGGTGAAGCTTATTAGTAACCAAATAACTTTTCTAAATAAAGCAGGACCAGGATTCAAGTTCAAGTTTATCTGACTCCAAAATCTGTATGTTTAGCCACTAGCTGATAATACTACACAGCACATCTCCTTAGGAGAGACTTAGAATTAAAACCACTAGCAATTGCTTTGCAACTTTATTTAGAAGTGATGTCCTAGCCCGTTCTTTCCCCTGCTGACTTTAATGGTAAGTGTTAGCACAATTCAATGTGTAGAAGGTAAAAATGTTGATCAATATAGTGAACATTTTTAAAGTTGATGTCCAAGACAGACATACAAAGATCCTGCACACATGGACTTCCCAAACAACTTAAGCCAAGAAAACGTCAGATATTTTCACGTTCAGATTGTTCTCAAGTCAAAAAACTTTATATTCTCTAAGAGCACACAATGGAATCTGATCAGACTCCAGCACTGAGAACAAGGCAGAAATCTTAGCACATGTTTCTGTCATTTTCAAGCTTGACCTTTTTTGCAAATTTAAAGATTAGTGCCTGGAAATTTAGGAAATTATTTCATTTAGGGAATAACAGGTATTCACTTTAAGAATAATCTAGCATATGCTCCATATTTCGATGCTGGAAACTTTGTGCAGTCTTTCCGGTCAATATCCCACTATGTGAGGTCTTCAATAATCACTGTTTATTTTTTGACTGCAACTTCAATTGTGCCATATTTTCCTGTCTAGTGAAAGGTAAGCGTACTGTGGACACTTGTGCATCGATAACACATCACTGCATATTGATCCCAGTTTTCCTTTATCCGGTTTCACTGATCCTATCTTCTTTCTTGCCTGCTGGAACAACACCGTGGTTAGGTTTGCAACTACACTTTAAAACCACACAGCACGTATTTGCTAACTGTACTCTGCTTCATTTTATTTCTCAATGTTCATTTTTCATTCACCTCGGTTTCTTAATCTTTTTTTGTGCATTTTATGAATTTCAATAAGCCCCTTGAAGGACTTTAGAAGCCTGCAGGAATAATTGTTAGACCTGGCCCTTTAAAGTTTTAGAGAAGAAACTAGAAAACTCCTGACATTGCCAGATTTTCTAGATACGACGAGGTGTCTCCAGGGAGCACAGGCTTGCGCACCCCTCTGAAAAATCCACAGAAAGGAAGACTGATTGTCAATTAACAGATCAGAAAATGCAGAGATCCCACCAAGTTGATTCTTTTTATATTTGTGTGTCTGTTTGATTCTGATAAGTCCTAATACGCGATGTTACAAGAGCAAAAAAGCCAGGGACCCACTACCATTGGTTTCTCTAGAGTATGTTTGGAACAGGGGTAGGGTTCCTTTTCAATACTATTTGGAGAAACAGTCTCTTTGTAAATGGAACTTTTTTGGCTTTAAAAGCAAATGCATAAATTATCCTTTGTAATTTCTGCATACTGAGGGAATATGGCTGGATAATAATGAAATGGACCTCATTTCCTTTTCTCCCCATGAGAGGACAAAGGTATTCAATGCCTGGGAAGCTGAAATTGATTGCATCTCCTTAAAAATACATTTTAAAACGAAATCAACTACTGTTCTTTATTTTCACTGATGTTTAATGAGTGTCTTTTCCCACGGAGTGCTTCCTGAAGTTTGTATTAATATTTTAACTCTTTCCATTTAATGAAAAGAAGACTCAGCTGAGCTGTTTTTCCCTTGTAGTGTGGAGACAATCAATGATGGGAACTTCCACATTGTGGAACTTCTCGCCCTGGACCAGAGTCTCTCTTTGTCTGTGGACGGAGGGAGCCCCAAAGTCATCACCAACTTGTCCAAGCAGTCCACTCTGAATTTTGACTCTCCCCTGTATGTAGGAGGTAAGCTTTCTTTTCCTCCAGATTCAGTGGGTCCCCAAACTCTCTGATTCTCATCGTGAACTACTTCTTAGGTATGGATCCCTCGTGCATCGTTGTTGAGCACTGATCCACAGTGATCAAGCATTGAAAGATGGACAGCAAGGTGGAACATCAGGAGTGTCATGGGGTCATTTTGTAATCCTGACTCTGGGGCTGGGATAGAGAGGAACATTGATTAATATTCCCTTTGTGTCTGTCATGCCAGGGGGCGTGTACATCGTATCATTTAACCTTATATGGTTTATAGAAAAAGAAAGTAGATTAAAGGACAAATCACAGATTGAAGGAAATCATGAAACAAGCTTAATATAAACCAGGGAGGGAATGGCCTCTCCTCAGTTCCCTTAAGGAGGCAAACCCCAGCAGCTCCACCAAACATAACCATGCCGGAGTTTCTGCGCTGCAGTTGCTACTTCATGTGCATGATAGGATAATTACCAATTAAATCCAATTAATTTAGTGTATAAATTACATTGAGGTAACAGGAAGTAATTCCATTAAGCTAAAAGCTCAAGGTGAATAAACAGGAAAGATCTACAAAGGTGGGTTAGGTCTTGGCTTGATGAAGATTCTGGACTTGACTTTTAAGCAACTACAAGGAAGATGAACAAAGAGATGAGGCATGGAAGGATGAGCAAAGTGTAAAGGAGCCCCGAGAAAAGAACCCATAAAGGAGAGAGCACCCACTTTTCCTCTGTCTGGAGGAGGAATTATAGACCAGAGGCATGGAATTTTTAAATCTGGGCAAAAAAATAAGAGAACAGGTAATACTGAATTGTGATGCTTTGAATTAAATTATATTGAATTAAGTTTAATTGAATGATAAAACTAACTCATTTTAGAAGATTAAAAACATTAAAGCTTCTGAAGAGGTCCATGTGCCTGACTTCTTCACGATGGCGGGTATTTTTATGAAGTTCACATCATTCCCTACTAAATAATAACTTCAGGAGGCTACTTCATCATCATCACCCTCAAGTCTTCTCTGCAGGCGTTTTGGGGAATTGGCCTCTCAGTCCAGAGCACTTCTATTTTTAATAATTTCAGCAGCAGAAAATCTTAACACTTTGATCATTTAGCATTTTTTAGAAACAGTTGAGCGTCTTTGGTTCAATTCTTTAAATATTTGTTGAGCACCTACAGAAATCTGAAAACTAGTTTAATGGGCTTATAAAGTACACAAAGCTATAAAGAAATTCCCCTTTCTGATCCCAGGGAAGTGGGGAATGCAGACTGATCCTCAGGTAACTGTAATGCACCGTGATTCAAGGTTTGCGTATTGAGTCTTCTCTGCCAAGAGACTGGCCTAATTGCTTCATAGGAATCACAACCATGAGACTCATTAAAAACAAAAGCCTCTCATTCTTACCTGTACTCTAGTTAACAGGGTTGCTTTGGGATGAGTGAAGCAAGTCAGACATATATCTGTGATTTGAGAGAAAAGAAATTATATTTATTGAGCACATGATATGTGCCCAACACCATGCTCCTTTTATGGTCTTAATCCTGGGAAACCTTAGGAAATAAGTATTATTTTTTGTTTTACAGTCTCCGAGGGACAGCTTCCAGGACCTAATATAACTCACCCAAGTTCACTCTTTCGTAATAGATACCTCATTTAAGTAGAGGTCTGTCTGACTCCTAAGCCACCTACATGGCCACTCCTTTCTTACCATAAAGCAGAAATGGGACCAATCTACGCTTTGTGGCTTTTGTTCTTTATTTCTAGATTTGTCCTTCACTTGATTTTATTCTACTTTCATTAGGAGCCAGTTTATTGACTCTTTAAAAAAAAAAACCCTTTAGAATGTAATGCTAAAACCCTTTAAAAAAAAATACAGGATGGGATTGGTTAGGTCAGAACATCTTCAAAAAAGGGGGGAGAAAATATTAAATTCCAAAATGTGAAGTGCTAATCTTCCAAGGACAGAGGGCCCCAAGGAACCCAGATGGCACCTCTGTCCACCCAGCCTGAAGGGAACCTGCCAGGGAACCCACTGGGCTCACTCGTCTCCATGGTGATTCAGGTTTAAAACATACAAGAAACCTTGGAGACCACAGCCTTGAATGCTACATGGCAAAGGGTTGAGAAGCTGAGTAAGGAAAGGAGAAGGAAGGAAACAAGTCCAGTTTAGAAACAGGCACAATTCTCTAGGAAGACTTGCCAGGTGCTGCCCCCTATCGCCTTGGAGGTTCTCCTGCAGAGGCCTCTGGCAGAACCGAGAGGCAGCTTAACCCACCGTTGGGTTATCAACTACCCAAGATGCAGGCTTCACTTAACATGACGTTAGCCATATTTTTCTGAATAACAGTCAAACCAGAACCTTTATTACTTAACAGACAAAAATTAAATAAGACCTACACAAAGATATTCAGCCACACATCACAAACCCCTTCCTAGTGCTGCTATAGGTCAAGAGACATCAGTCTTCAGATTGGTTGTATTGTTGCCATTTTGAAGCATGTAGAGCTTAAAGCTGTGAACCGTCTACTAAGGTATCTATTGATCAACTGATTGATTGAATTCTGCATGTTCAATAAGAAGTTCGTGGCACAGGGGAAAGGCAAAAAAAAAAAAAAAAAAATCCTGGATCTACTTCTGTTTCTCAATTAAGACACAGCTCCCCAGCCAAGCACATGAAAGGTTGACTCAGAAATGTTCTTGATGTCGTGATATCCTATTGGAAGTCAAATACATGTCTGATCTCTAAACATTTTCTTTTACAAATTAGTCAAAGCTGGGCCTTTTGTAATCGTTAGCTTTGGGACTGGAAGGAGCACATTTCCTAATTGTTTCTCTCTGCCGTCGAGCTTTGCCAACCTGGTTAGTCCTGACACGTGCACATATGTGGATTGTGCCTTCATCAAAATCTGCTATTTTAAAAAGAGTTGGGAGAGAAGTTTATTTTTAACCTCTGAAGAAAGAATCACTAATGTGCGGTCACTGAGTCGTCACATTCTTGATGAATGCCTGTGATTGCATTAGGAAGACCTAGCCTATCATGAGGAATTTGCTGTCACTGGTCCTCTCCTGGAAATGTCAATTTCAGCCTTATGACTCTACCCCAGAGAGAAGCCAGGTTTCTGCGCAGACAGAGGGAGGTAAACTAAAGGCCCCTACTCATGGATCTTTTAAGCCAAGACACTTATTTTATAGCAAAGTAGCAAAGCGTGGCCAGGGACCACCTGGGTCAGAATCCTCTGAGCTGCCTGTTGACATTTAGGTTTTCCCACTCCCCTTACAGAATCTCAGGATAGGGGAAGAGTAGGTTCTGGGAGCTGCCTTTGAATACGCGTTTCTGGTGGTTCTTGCATATGACAAGCTTGGGAAACATCTGCTCTGGCCCATTTGCTCACTCAGGTTCGAAATGAGTAAACTCAACCCAGAGGGAAGACCTGACTGGCCCCAGTGCGCAAAGACCTACAACAAAGACCTGACCGGAACCCGTCGGGTTTCTGCACTTTGGTTCCTGATGGACACACATGGGGCTGCTTCTGACACAAAGTGGGAAGGTGGCACAAGGCAGGGCCCAGAGAGTGCTGAGGTTCTTGGTCTTGGTCCGCCAACCCCTAGGAGAGTGAGAGACTGGGTCTCTCTCCCAGACTTGAACCTCCAGCCAGCAGCTCCGAGTCCAGGCACAGTCAGTGGGGGAAAGTCACCCTGTGGCTCCAAGGCCTCCAGTTCCCTCCTTCATCCCGCAATGACCTAGTGCCTCAGTTGTTAGTGCCTAGACCGCAGTTGTTAATGCCTCCTGCAGGACGTAGGCCAGGAACTATTTCAGGGTCTGGCTTAGGCCATGGAAAGTTTCCTCAGCATTGCCAAAATGAGGGTTACCAGATGACTGTCACTAGTGTAATGTATATTTCCAAAGATTGCACTGTGTTTTTAACAGAATTTCTTTTGTGATCTTGATTTCCTTGGACTGTGAAGGCTTCACTCTCAGTTCCTAATGATGCAAATGAGGTGCTGTGCTGGTCAGAATCAGGGCAAGTCTTGCAGGCACCAACATCACTGAACTCAGGGACTTTGCCAGTGATGAGCTGGATTTGTTGCTAACTTAGAATTCAGCAGGGACAGGGTGAATGGGAGCCCCTGCTCCCACCTGCCTGCTCTAGCCTGAATTTGCTGGGTCACATTGAGCCTGTGACCTGAGTTATCTTGCCCCTGGCCCCTCATCTTCAAGATAAGGGGAAAAAACAGAAAAGGGGATTTGAAACAGAGCTTCGTGAAGCTCTAGGCTGCCATGGATGTGGGACTAAAGGCAGGAGGGAGACATAGAAAGGAAGGAAGTGCCAACCCCCCCCATCTTGTTTGTGAGGTCTATAGCTCTGCCTCTATGTTTTATGTATTTGTGTCCAGGTAAAACTTTGTTTGAAACAAATTTTAACAATTAATGGTTGACCACCGATGAACTAGGCACTTTATTCTGGTTTATTCTAGCTACTTTTGGAGTATCTTCCAAAAAAACAAAATCAAAACACACCTTTCTTCTCTACTCAACACCCCCTCCCCGCCTACCCAGATATCCTGACTTAGTAGGTGTAGGATGAGACTCCAAAGCATCAGGTAGCATGTGGCTGAGGAGCCCCCAGAGAGCCTGAGCTCTGATGTGCTTCCCCCCACCCAGGCATGCCCGGGAAGAACAACGTGGCATCTCTGCGCCAGGCATCCGGGCAGAACGGCACCAGCTTCCATGGCTGCATCCGGAACCTTTACATCAACAGTGAGCTGCAGGACTTCCGCAAGGTGCCCATGCAAACAGGCATTCTGCCTGGCTGTGAGCCATGCCATAAGAAGGTGTGTGCCCATGGCACGTGCCAGCCCAGCAGCCAGGCAAGCTTCACCTGCGAGTGCCAGGAAGGATGGACGGGGCCCCTCTGTGACCAGCAAACCAATGACCCCTGTCTTGGGAATAAGTAAGTTCGTGCTGCTTGGTGTTTGAACACACACCCTCAAAGCAAAACCCAAGAAAGGAAGAAAAACAGGCGGGTGGAAGGTGGGAAGGGTGGAGAGGGAGAGAGCAAGGGAAGGATAGAAAGAATTTAGCCCAGTAGCGCTCGGTCCTCACATTTCCTCAGTCATCCTCCGTTCTTATCTCACCTTCATGCGTTCTGACCTCTCCCAAACGCATCCCACGCCTGTGTCCTTCCTTCCCGTAGATGCGTGCATGGCACCTGCCTGCCCATCAATGCGTTCTCCTACAGCTGTAAGTGCCTGGAGGGCCATGGGGGTGTCCTCTGTGATGAAGAGGAAGCCCTGTTCAACCCCTGCCAGGCCATCAGGTGTAAGCACGGGAAGTGCAGGCTCTCGGGACTTGGGCAGCCCTACTGTGAATGCAGCAGCGGATACACGGGGGACAGCTGTGATCGAGGTAAGCCAGACTTGGCATCTCCCTCTTTGGGCCAAGCAAGAGGGGCCTCCCATCTTTGAAAAGAGCACAGCAGGGCAGGGTGGCTCACACCTGTAATCCTAGCACTCTGGAAGGCCCAGGTGGATGGATTGCTTGAGCTCAGGAGTTCAAGACCACCCTGAGCAAGAGTGAGACCCTATGTCTACTAAAAATAGAAAAAACTGACCAGTCATGGTGGTGGGCACCTGTAGTCCCGGCTACTTGGGAGGCTGAGACAAGAGGATCACTTAAGCCCAAGAGTCTGAGGTTGCTGTGAGCTGTGATGCTATAGCACGTTATCCAGGGTGACAAAGTGAGACTTTGGCTCAAAAAGAAAAGAGACAGAGAAAGGGTTAAAAAAAAAACGGAGAAGAATAGCAGAGAGAACAGAATATCAGGTCTCTGCACTACCTGCATTTGCTGCTGCTGAGTTATTGTCAAGTGTTATGAAGGCACCAGATGGGAACTGTCCTCAACCTCTGTGCAGGATTTGACAGCAGCCATGCGGTGTCTTCTCACAAGTCGATCTGTTGTGACATCCTCCTTTTTACCTGATGTACAAGCATATTTACCTTAGTTGCTTCTTACCTTTCCCTGCTGTTCTCATCCATGTGTATTTATCATTCATCTTCGGGCACAGAGAAGGTGGAGCTATTCATTCTGCTGTGGTCTTAGTATAAACTTACCTTTGACCTCAAGATTGACTGATTTATCACAGCAAGTTATGCAGGTGAGAGGGACAGAAACTGGCTGATTCTTAGGCCGCCCTCCCCCGGCCCCTTTATCTGCGTGGTCAGAGCCGGCCCTGCCTCCAGCCAGCACCGATTTTGCGTTATGCCTCACAGAGGCAGGATGAGAGGGGCGTGCTCGTGGAAGCTTTTAGCAGATGTCTCCTTTTTGAACCACATGCTTCACACTCGGGTAATTTATGAAGCTAGTGGAATGTTACTTGTATGAAGTAACAGATTGGATAATATTAAACTCCAGGTCCAGTAAATTAAATTGCACATGCTCTCTGAAACTGCTCCCGATGGTAAACAAAACCAGCTGTTAGTAGTGTAAAAACAGAAGATGTGTATTTTTTCCCCTTTTTGCATGGAAGGAAAAGACTTAAGAATCCAGTTTTCTTGTCAGTGCAAAAGTACCGTATTTATTGTCTACCTGTATAGCATTCACATTGCTGAAGATAAAGACCCAGAAGAAGAACCTTTTAAAGAATATCAGGCCATGGCACCAGCCAATAAAATGCAGTGTACGTTACAAAGAGCCAATAAAATGCAGTGTACGTTACAAAGAGGGAGCAAAGACACGCCCTCCTGAATTGAGCCCTGGCTTCGTGGTCATTCTGCGTGTCTTCCAGAGACCGCCCTTAAAATGCTTGTGCTTTTTGTTCTTTTCTAGAAATCTCCTGTCGAGGGGAACGGGTAAGAGATTATTACCAAAAGCAGCAGGGCTATGCCGCCTGTCAAACAACCAAGAAGGTCTCCCGATTGGAGTGCAAAGGTGGGTGTGTGGGAGGGCAGTGCTGTGGACCTCTGAGGAGCAAGCGGCGGAAATATGCTTTTGAATGCACTGACGGGTCCTCTTTCGTGGACGAAGTTGAGAAGGTGGTCAAGTGTGGCTGCACAAGGTGTGCGTCCTAAACGCACCCCTGGGCTGCTCCGTCTTTGGAAAATGTTGTCTACTTCTTGACAGTGTTGGACTAACGAATGCTTCATAGTGGAAATATTTGAAATATATTGTAAAATATAGAACAGACTTATTTTTATTATAAAAATAAAGACTTTTTTTTTCTGCATTTGGGGAAAAAAAAAAAAAAGAAAAGAAATGCTTGAACTAAAGCTTCCCCCACACTGGAGAAGTTTGAAAAATCTCCACCTGCAGGCGTTACAACCACGATGGGAACCATTGCCGCAGGGATCCATCCTTGTGACATGCTGAAGACAAACAAAAGCACATACGTAGACACCAGGGTCAGACGAGCTACTGTGCACTGATGGGAAACTGCCCAGAGCGTAGAGCCCATGTCCCCTCCTCCCCATCAGTGACGGTCACTAGGACACACCAAGCACACGCGTGTGAATGAGGATGTAGGCAGGGCAAAGGAACTCCAGAATTCACAGGTTGAACAAAGAGATGAGAGATATTTTGTCCAAAGTATAAAGTGTCTTAAAGATCTGGGTTCCATTCATGACTGGAAGTGAAAAATAAATTTTATCTTCTTTTCAATGTCAGCATGTCAGCACAAGCAGCACATGGAAGTGTTTATCTACCGTTTTCCAGTATTAATGTTTTTGTAATATAAATGATAAAGGAGATAATAAAGAACCAATAGATTATTAATAAATAAACTAGTAATAATATGAATTTTTCTGGTTTCTATGAGTTCTAAACAGCCCTATACAGTATTCAGTTTCCATGAGAAATATTTATTGTATCAAAGTACGTTGTACTTAACATTTTAGGCCAACCTTATGCTGTTTCTCAATGCTTTAATATATATTAATTTATAATTATCCTGATATTTTTGTACATTTTTTCAAAGTTAAAAATCAGGATTTTTTTTTTTTAATTTTGGCAATAGTACTAACATAGGAATTTATCTTGGGATAAATGTGGGTTGGTCTGTTTGTCAACCTTGACATCCGATCACTGGTGTCACTGACCTACTGGCCTTCAGGAAACCTGCAGAGAGTATTCAAAGTCCAATAGAGGAAAACAAAAACCTGTGTCTGAGATGGTCATTGTACAGAAAGAAGTGACCCCTCTTCAACTTGTCCTCACAGAGAAGAAATGGTGTGTAGCAGTTGACACTAGAAAGTAGACCTTTTACCGATTAATATTTCCTTGACCTTTTTTTGCCCTTTTATTGGGGGGTGGGGAGAAAAAGACTGTCATGTCAAGAACTGTGATTTTTTTCCAACAATAAAACTCCTTTATTGCCTTCATGTCCCCATGTGAACATGTTCTGCTGCTAAATTACAATGTAGAATTGATCATGATTTATAGTGAACTGTGCTCTTCCCTCATTAAAATCCCAGGGTTCCCTGTAAAGATGCAGATGTTTCTTCCCAAGAACTTTTTTTTAACAAAGAAAATTAGATGTACATGTATAATTCAGTGTGCTTCGTCTTTCTCCAGACTAATATCAGTTACCCTGCTGATGTTTGTAAATTAAACAGATATTTACTTCATTAACAGCTTGGTGGTTTTCTTAGAAATTGCAGGAGAGTTAGGCCCTGCCTTAAGAATTTGTTAATCAAAATGATACAGAAAGAACAAGAGAAGAAAATGTATACCTTTTTGTTGCCCAAAATGGGTTTGAGATTCACATATTGTTATATCTGGGGACTTTGGAATGGCCACATAAAAGAGGTAGCTATAAGAACACACTCTTTGCTAGAAGAAAGGACATATTTAATTACTTTATAAAAGTTATAAAGTGAAGTCTAAGGTGAAATGTTTTTGGTTGTATTCTTGTCTGTTTCTTTTCCCCACAAATGGAACCAGATGGAAAAAAACAAAAGAAAGAGTGCCTTTCACCACACTCAGGCCAGGGATGATGGCATCAGGCATGCCACGTATTACAGAGCCACGAGGCTGGCTGGGTTCAGTATTAATACCCACCATAGGATTTTGTTTCCTTGTGAGAAAAATATGCACTCAGGCACAAACCCTCTGTCTCATGGATATGGACATCCAAATCACTCATTCTTATCTAAAATGTCTTTGTTTGCATTATATGAATCTTATATTACCAATGTAAAACATTAATTTATTCCTATTGGTTGCTTCTTTTATTCCCAAGGGCTTTAAATAATTCATTAAACAAACATCTGTGAAGATGACGTGGCTTAGATTTGTATTTCTAGGACTGTGTTATCTGTATAATTACTATTTTTTCAGGGGTGCTTATTATATGCCAGGTGCTATGTGAAGAACTTTATATAAGATATTTCATCCATCTCCATAAAATGCTGGGATTGTACTGACTCCTCCCCCATTTTACACATGCATGTAGGGCTCCTAGGCAGAGGAGATGGACCACACCTCAATCAGGCACTTCAGACTACATGGTCACTAACTAAGACCACAGCTTAGCAACTACTGCCTCTATTAGGGAGTTCTTAAGCCTTGGTGGCTTATTTCTATAGCCCGATAATCCTTTTCTATTGATTACATAGATATAAGTAACCTGGATTAGAGACTTTAAATTTTTGTAAGGAAAACAAAACTGTGAAGTCTTAGTAGCTTCCAGACTCTTCCTGCTTATTAAGAAGCTTGGTAGCTTCTTTCTTCTTCCTGCTTATTAAGACCCACAATAAAATTACAGTTGCCTGGTATTTTGGCTGATTTAGCAAGTTTCTTATGGGATCATTTGCCTTGTAATGGGACTATATTCTTCACAGGAGCCAGTCTTGAAAATCTAGTACCCAAATTACTAGCAAACAAGGCCAATTAAAGGCAGTTATTGATGTTATAAAAGGCTTTTTATCTGTAATGCCTCAACCATAGGATTCCTTTAAATAGGAAACTCTTCTACAGCATATCCAACAGAATTCAGACCATTAAACCAAAACAATTCTGCATATTCCAGAATCAAAGCCACTACATGGAATTTTGTACACTTGTAATCTGAAAAGGTAAAGTGATTAAACATCAGTAATGCTATTTACATTAAATTCTCACACAAGTGAAGCATTGTTAGGAAAGAGAATTTAACATGTTGGATTTAAGGCATGTTTATTGAATAACAGCCATCTCCATCTTTAGAGTTTGTCTTCACCACAGATTTCCTGAAATTATTTCTAAGCAGTGGAGACTAGCCCCCATTGTAAAACTGCTCTGAGGATTTTTGTGTTTGGCCTGATTTGCTTTGTCAGCAGCAAATCCTTCTGGAGAAATGATTAGAAGACTGTTAGAATCGATTCAGGACGTAAGGCTCTTGAGCCTTATGGTGTCATCTACCTCATGGAATGACCATTATTTCAAAAATAATACATTTTTTAAAAGCTATAGACAACATGTGAAGCTTCACACAAGGCTTTATATTAAGTGTCTAAAGCTACGTGAACTACAGAAGCTACCATCATTCTCAATCCTTTGTATTCAAAAGCTATTTAACAACTCTTTTTTTTTTTTTTCCAGTTTTTGGCTGGGGCTGGGTTTGAACCCGCCACCTCTGGTATATGGGGCTGGTGCCCTACTCACTGAGCCACAGGTACCACCCTAACAACTCTTTTATCTCTCATTTCATGCGAGAAACTATACTAAATGTTTGTTATACAGTTTCAGATGAAATAGTGCTTATATTTGATGCAGTTGCAATTGCAGTTGAAGTTAAAGTGTGTAAAAGATATTATGCAAAGGATGAAACTAATACATAATTTTAGTAGCGATAAGCACCCTGAAGGAAATTGTGGGGTGCTAAAAAAATCTACAGCAGATGGACCTGGTATAGACGTATTGGGAGGCTCCAGACACCTTTGTGAGAGAATAGCAGTAGCAGAGTCTTGAATGCTCAAGTGGGGTCTGAGATGGAGCCATATGGAAGTTTGTATGGAGAAGGGGCTGGGGGGTGCATGCAGAGAACATGGTCTGTATGGTCCTGCAGTGGGAAAGAATTTTTACATAGTCAATCATTGTGGCTGGGGGGAGGCATACATTTGTGTTTTGTGTGGAACATGACAGGGGCCATTGTCAAGCTTTCTTAACTCAGTTCATACACTCCATGTTTTTTCTTTTCAGTGTGTTTGCAGGAAGCGTTCAAACTGTCAACAAAAAAGGATGTGTTTTAAAATAGCAACTAGTTAGCTGTGCTTAATGCACTTCCTTTCAGCTTCCAAATGAAATACCTCTGAAGACACAGAAATTATGAGTACTTGAAATAACACTGGGAACTAGGAACACTATTTCCAGAATTTCAGAGGAATTTTTATGAACTGAAGGCTGATAAAGCTGGATTGAAGGAACAATAATCCATGCATTGAAACTCATGTGTATTTCCCCCTCTCTGTTTACCAAGGTCAGAGACTAAGAAAATGAGTCAGCTGGAAACCTAGGAGAAAATATCTGTGCATTAAAAGTGCCAAATAAAATCTAACCTTTAGTTTCAGTGTAATGCCTGCAATGCCTTATAGGATCACAGCTGTGGATGTGGGAAGCCCCAGCATTCTGCCCTCAACCAATCCTTCATGCTAGAGTGGAAACAATATATTCTTCTAGATCAGCGGTTCTCAACCTCTGGGTCGCCACCCTTTTAGTGGTTGAATGACCCTTTCACAAGGGTCAGCTAAATACATCCTGCATATCAGATATTTACATTACGATTCATAACAGTAGCAAAATTACAGTTATGAAGTAGCAACAAAAATAATTTTATGGCTGGAGGGACCACAACAAGAGGAACTATATTAAAGGGTTGCTGCGTTAGGAAGGTTGAGAACCACTGCTCCAGATCATGTCGAAGTATCCTTAATGAACTACCACTATAGGTTAAAATTCAAATTCTTTAGAATGGCATTCCAGATTTCTCATGAAGTGACCTTCTCAAATGTCTCTTTAGTATGTGCTCTTAGATTGACAAATATTAGGACAAGTATTTTAACACAAATTCTGTGTGAAGTCCCTGAATTGTGGATATAAGATTCATCCACATAGAGGTGTTCGCTGAAGTCAGGAAAATGGACAAGCTAATTTAGAGACAAAATAAAATGAACTTCACCAGAAGACTCCTACGCCATGTTAGATGATACATCTCTGAAAGGAAGTAGCCTCTGAATAAAGAAAGAGAAAAGAGCAGT